ACATTGCTTTGCTGTGCCTTCCCAGGCTGTGAGGTACCACCAGGCATGACCAGGCTGCATTGTTAGCCAGACCTGGAGGCAGCCTTTACAGGACTTGGGGAGTGGGCTGCATAATGCCCTGCCTTACCGTCAGGGTGGGCTGTTCAGCAGTTAGACTGCTGCCCCTTTGCTTGAAGAACCCTTCCTTTCTAGAGCTGAGTAGAAACCAAAATACTTCCTGGAAAAAAAAATCAAAAAATTTATGGATCTTGTCAGACTTTTTAAAAATTGATACAATAGCAGGTTGAGTGGACCCAGAGGATGGTGTGTGGAAATTAATTTTTCATTTATTCTCTAGGAAGAGAGCTATTTTAAAATTTGCCAAGTGTGATATATGTTTTCCTTCTTCAATAAATCAACTCTCTCCTAGGGAACTTTAGATCTATATATTGATCTGCATGGACCATTGTCCCCTAAGTCTTTGCACCATTAATCATGGAATAATTTCCAGGGAATCATGCTCACAGGAATTATTCACTCTAAGTCTTCTGAAGTTGGTAGCAGATAACCACGCTTCATGACCCAGCTAGAGGCCACCATTCTACAGGGGTCATCACCTGTGAAAATGAAACTCAGTGACATCATCACTGATATGCCCCAATGCCAGCAGGCCTCTGCCCTTTCCTAATGGCCCTACAAGAATGGAACAGAAAGGAAGAACAGAGAAGGTGTTTTCCACACCAGTGATAGGAAGGTACCATTCATCAAACTGCTCTGACGAAGAGATGGGGCCAAGATCACCCAGGCAGTTAGCATCCTGCCCCCAGAAGTCTGCATAAGACTGGACATGCCTCGGAGTTGAAAATTGCAGGAAAGATGCAGCTGAATCTTTTCACACAGAATCTTCCACCTAAATTCTTCACATAATCAGACTGCTTGAAATTGCTCCAATTAGGGATTCATTTGGGAGATGGTAGCTATTAGTCATTCACACATTGGTGTAATTTAGATTCAGTCAATTGTTTTTCCCTTAACACAGAACCACAGTCAATTATTTTTCTCTTATCACAGAACCACTAATGGGGGTTTCAGGGAAAAGAATCAGGCAGATTCTTAGGGCTAGCTGGCTTTGAAGATCAGACACTAAGCAGGGAGGCATTGGGCCTCAGACACCTGGGAGCCCAGCACACTGAGAGCAGGGGACAGGCTCACAGAAAGAAAGGCGGAAGGGCCAGATGTACATCTCAGTTACAAATGCTGCTAAAGGGAAGAGCCCCATGAGCATCCTGTGCCAGAGAACCTGACATAACAGGTGTAAGCAGGGCTGGGGTCAATACAGCCCCAGTACAACTACTGAAATATTGAAATACGGTCCACAGCCCATCTCTGAAATTGTGAGGTCCCCAAATTCAGAAGTTTTCAGGTCTCTGAAAGGCAGTGTTATGCAAATATCGTATCCATAGCTTCACATCCCATTAGAGCCCAATTCATTAGGAAGCAATAGTTTGTTGGCAAGGGGTATCAAAATTACAGAGAAGAGATTGGGGGCCTATACTTCTGTACTGATCCATAAGCAGCCAAAGGCCCTCCTGCCACCCTGAACACCTACATCTCCCCATGATGAGGACCCTCTCCAACAGCACACCCTCGTGGGGCTGTGCCTGCACCCTTCTCGGCCTGCAGCTCACTAAATCTTTCTAGGCTGAGTGTACCACAGACAGAAGCATGTGATGATGACAACATTCACAATCCTGAGAAGCAGCTGAGCTGCTGTGGAAAAACCCAGGTTTGTAGTCCAGGGGCTAAGGCTGGGGGTCCTTTTTATCTCTGCCAATCACTAGCTCAGAGACCTTGGGTAACACAGTTCTCCCCTTGGAACCTCAGTCTGTCAATCTGTAAAACAGGAATCATAATAACTTATTTGGTTGTTAGGAGGATTAAGTGAAGTACTGGGGGAGGGGTGTTAAAGACAGACTGCAAATTGCTATTTAAATAAATTATCATTTCTACTACTATATTAGAAAATGGGACAAAACAATGTGTCTAAAAATGTTTATGCACTGTAAATTACATACGAAAGTGAAATTTTAGGGCTGGGGATATAGTCAGTTGGTAGAGTACTTGCCTTGCATGCTTAAGGCCCTGGGTTTGATCCCCAGCACCACAAAAAAAAAAAAAAGAAGTGAAATTCTGTTATTATTGTGAACTTCCTACCAAGAATCTGGTTCCTAGAGTTGAGAGGCCAAGAAGAGACCACTTCTACAAGTACTCTGCCCCACTTCCCATCTCCAGTCCCGACACCCTAGTGACTAGTTCTTTGGTAAAGAGGACAGAGAGGAAAGACCCAGGGACCCTGCTAAGAGCCCTGGATTGGAAAGAATGCACAGGAGAAGTGGTCCAGCTAGGGAACACTCAGACCACCTAACCAACATCTGTCTCCTTTGAGGGACACTTCACCAACCACAGTCCCTCCTCTAGCCCAGAGCACTGTGTCAGCTACCAGCGCTGCCACTCGGGCTCCATCTCCTAAGAGCAATTCTTTTCACTCTCTGAGCCTTGGAATCCATAGCTGCATATTTAGAGGAATAATTCCTACTTCATAGGGTCATGGAGAGAAATCAATGTGTATATCTATAAAACCCTTTGAATATCATAAAGCATGACTCGAATATGGAGTTATTTATTACTGGCATGGGAAGCTGGGGACACAGCAGGAGCTCACAGGGTTTCAAGGCCATGGGGCTGAGCTGCAACGTTTCTGGGGAAACCAGACCCCTCCTTGAGCAGGCTGAGGAAAGCAGGCTGCAAAGCATCGCAAACCAGCAAAGTTCTCTCTCCCGGGCCTGGAAAGACCATTGCAAGGTACTGTTGAGAGGGAAGGAATGGATCCCCTGCCCTCTGGGCACCACATGAGTTTTTTCTGTGCTCTGTTCTGGTTTGCTTCATTTTAAATTCTGGGGTTTTCTTCAATTTATATATTTGACAATTGTGTGTGATGCTGAGCCCTGGAGAGCTAACGGCATGGCATTTTCAAGATTGATGTTGTGTGTTTTTAACTGCAAGCAGCTGAACCCAAAGCAAGGATCTAAATAGAATATTCCAGACCATTGCTCTCGCAGTGCATGTCTAGGAGTTTGGATGGCTTTATGATGAATCTGTGGGCCTCGCTATGGGAGAGTTCTCACGGTAGCTTGGCCAAATGGCAGGCTGGGATGGAACTGGTGTGGACCCCCAAGTCGGTTGTGTTTGCACTTGAGGGTCTCCTTGCATTTTCTTACATGCATGCTTGATTGTCTTCCTTTGGCTACTAATTATTAAAACAGAGAGACTATTTCCAAGGGACCTCATTGTAGAAACAACATCTCAGAAAGCTTTCATGCCAAGTGCAAATGCAGAGAAAAGGGGCTTTTAGTTGTTTTCTTTTATCTTTACTTCTTTTAAAATCTTATTATTCTCACTCTGCTATAATACTGCTTTCTCAGAGTTGAAGGACATTTTCTGCAGGAAACAGTAACCAACAGATAGAAACCACGATTTCTGCAACCCCCAATCATAATGAGATATTACTTCACTCCAGAAAGAATGGAAGATACCAAAAAGACAAAAGATAATAAGTGCTGGAGAGAATGTAAAGAAAAGGGAGGACTTGCACCCTGTGGATGGGAGTGTAAATTAGTACAGTCATTGTAGAAAATAGTATGGAGATTCTTCACAAAATTAAAGATAGAACTGTCATATGATAGGCAATCCCATGACTGAATATTTATCCAAAGGAAGTGAAAGGAGTATGTCAAAGAGACATCTTCACTCTCATGTTTATTGTAGAACTATTCCAAGAGATGGAAAGTATCAATTAATGAACAGATAAAGAAAATGTGGTACATGTACACAGTGGAATACTACTTAGCCATAAAAAATGGAATCATGCCATTTGCAACAACATGGAAGGAACTGGAGATAGATCATTGTGTTAAGTGAAATAAACCAGACACAGAAAGACAAGTAATGCATGATCTCACTCATATGTCAATTATAAAAAGTTGGTTTTACAGAAGTAGGAAGCAGAGACTGGGGAGAGTAGGGGAAAGTGAGGGATGGGAAAAGGTTGATCAGTAGGTACCACATTACAACTTGATAGGAGTAAGAAGATCTGCTGTGCTATTGTACAGGAGGATGACGAAAGCACCCTACTGTACCCTGTTTACTGTGTATTTCAAAAAAACAGGATTTTGAAAAAATGATAAAATGCTTGAGAAAACAGATATGTTTAACCTGATTCAACCGTTACCCAATGTATACATAGATCACAACCTTACATGGTTATTACATTAATATCTACAATTTTTATATTTTCATGTACCACTTAAAGATAAATTTAATTAAACAAAGGGAAAAAAGAAAACAAGATTTCTTTTTTGTCTTCCCCATTCAAATCCCTGAGTCTCAGAGTAATTTGACAAAATCAGCTTTTACTGTAAAATAAAGATTAAACAATTTATACTTCATTTGATTCCTAATTTGAGACTTAATATGCACAATACAGCAAGACATGATTTAAACTTTAAATTTGTCCCTGAAGATGATACCAGGGAAGACAGGTTGAACATTCAGGAAGCAAATATTCTGCATCCATTTCAAATAGTCTCCTACTTTGTATTTAAAACATTCTCCTCAATATGTTTTTATTCTACATAGAACTTCCTTTAAGGAGGAAATACACACCTTGTAATTATTATCTCTGTTTAACAACAGCTTCATCATATGTATACATCTCCTATATTATAGAACAGTGCTGTACTAATATTGTTAACTTTCAATATTTAACCCAAATTTCAGATTTATATGAAAATAGGATCCTAAATTATCCACACCTGCATCCCAGGTTTAAGATTACCTACTCAATGACCTAAGATTTCTTCCTGCTTTGGAATTTCACTGTGTTTAACATTGGACCAAGGCACTGAGATGGCATATGGCATTTTCTTGGGAAAACAAATTAATGACTCACCTTGTCTCCCCAGACCCAGGGGGCAGGCTCTCCGCGCTCCTCCCCCAGCCACACCATCAGCAGGCCGATCCCCATGCCCATCCGGTCCGTGTCCACCTGCTCCACCCCGACGCATGCGCCTCAGGACTCTCTCACAGGGGTCGGGGGAGATGTACAGGAGGCATTTGCACAAAGTAAGTGGTTTGCACAAACTGTTTTATTTTATTTTATTTTATTTTGCTGTGGTTTCCTTTTAATGGTCAAATAGGTCACCAAGATCCATTGAATGGTGGACAGTTACCCGCCATTGCCACATGTGGACACTCCAGGGTATCAGAGAACTCACTGTCATTTTATAGATTGTCTGTGGAGATGTCCTAAAGAGGGGGATCATTGCCTTGTGATATGGAACCGCAAAGTTAGGCCTCCAGCAGAGGAGGGCAAAGAGGGGTGGAGATGATAACGAGTATTCTATACCTACAGGAGGGCCCCCCAAGGCAAGTGACTTAAAACTTTCCTACAACCACTTTTTTTTTTAATTTTTTTTTTTTGAGAGAGAGAGAGAATTTTAATATTTTTTTTTTCAGTTTTTGGCGGACACAACATCTTTGTTTGTATGTGGTGCTGAGGATTGAACCAGGACCGCACACATGCAGGCGAGCGCGCTACCTACAACCACTTTTTAAATTTATAGAGCAACAAAACAACAGAAAAGTTCCTCCTATACATCCTTTCAATTTGTTTATGTACAAAGCTTTTGCTTTGTACATAAATACATATATTTGTATGTGTGTAGGACACATATTATTATTTTTTTTTACAAAAATCAGATCAAGCAATGTATTTTGGTCTACAATTTGCATCTTCTTGACATGAGTAATATATCATGAACCATCTTCCAGGTTCTCATACAAAGATCTAAAGAGAAGAGAAACATAGTTGACTCATGTTTTAAAGCAAAAGGAAGCATAAACAAAATCAAAGGACAAAAACAGACTCAAGGAAACTCATTCAAAAATAACTGTAGAAACACATATCTTCAGGGCTGGGCTTGTGGCTCAGTGGTAGAGCGCTCACCTCGCACATGGGAGGCCCTGGGTTCGATCCGCAGCACCACATGGATAAATAAAATAAAGATATTGTGTCCAACTATAACTAAAAAATAAATATTTAAAACAAAAGAAACACAAATCTTCAATATCATCTTTTGCCTAACAATATTTTTTAAATGCTTTTGAGCATCAAAAATATGCAAAGATAGCCAGAAGGGGAGGAAACAGACGCTCTCATCCTCCATGTATAGGGGTAATACCTTAACATATTTTAATGGGAAAGAATGATAGACTTTATTCTGTTTTGAGGGGGAAAAAAGGGAGTCCACATTAAGGCTGTTTCTTCTGAGCACTGAATATGATTCAAGAGCTGTTTGTGTAATTCACAAAAGAACTTTCTGTTTTTATAATTTTAGAAGGAAAAATATGCTTTTTCTAAATCACCTTTTAGAGAAAGTACAGAATTTTAAATCAATTTGTGCTTCCTATTATAATTAATGTCTTCACCTAGCTACTTTGATTTTCCTGATTTAAATGCATTGATTATTTTACTTATTTAATATTGTGTTGTGAGACGACAATGAAATGAGGCCTAAAAGCAACCCTTAGCTCATAAAATGTTCATTCTACAGAAGGTCATTTGTAAGTCAGTTATTTGGAACCCTGTATACTTTTTCCCAAAGATATTAGCCCTCTGTTCTCTCTCTACTTTGCCCCACTCCCAAGCCAGCCTATGTAACTCTTTAGTATGCCTGAAATATGAGAATAATCTTTTTCTACCATAGAGTGTGTTCCAACTTAGTCAAGCTCCAGTTCAGCGTACCTGCCATGCATCTGTCTATACTGGCAGTGGGAGCAGCAATCCTCACCCTTTTCTCACATTCTGGGAGCATTCAGAGCATAAACTTCTCATTCCCAACAGGGACCTATCCTGGTAGGAAGAGCTCTGGAAGCCCTGAAGGAGCATGAGTCTGTGCTATCCGAGACCAGAATCCACTGTGCTCAGCCACAAGGTTATGGCTAGAACAATAAAAATAACTATGAAGGTCCAGCTGTCTGCACAGACCAGAGTTTTTATCAGTGTGGACATTCCTAGGAAGGATGACCACACAAGCTGGACCATCATAGTTATTATGCCAGGTCACCCAGTCTTATCAGTGCTAATCTCTTTCACTTTCAAAAATTGTCCCAAATTGAACGATACTTTATGTGAATCTCCATCATTAGTCATGTCTTCTTATATTGGGGCCACTACCCTAAGCACGGTGTATGGTTTTTTTCTTTTAGGAAATGGACCAAAACACTTCTGAAAGGAAGTACTAGAAGTTTTCTTGCTATAGGTTATCAAAGGAAATGATAAACAAACAACCTGAAATTGGAGGCATGGGGAAGCTCCTATTTTTTTTAATGAATATTTCTTTTTTGCTGAAGGTTCAAGAAGAAATTTAAGGAATGATTTGCTAGTGGCAGCAGATTCCATCACTAATACCATGTCCTCTCTCGTCAAAGAGCTGAATTCTGGTGAGTCCTTGGTGCCCCCTCATTTATCTACTCATTGCAAAAGATCTGTAAGTCCAAGGGGCCTCTTTCAGAGACCTGCTCATTGTCAAGGTTAAAAGGATATTTGAAAGGTCAATGTGATATTTTGTTGGTATATTCAGATTTTTTCATAATGTTTATATTTTGCTTATTACATGCTCAATACAGAAAGTTTGAAAAATGAAAAAAATATTAAAATTGAGCTAGAATCCTAGAATCCAAAGATACCCACTGTTAATGTATCTAGTGATCCATAGTAACATGATGTGGAAGTTATATTTACAGCGCTAAGTGTTTTATATACCTTTTCTCACCCTGTTGATTTGAAATAGATCATCATTTGAATGAAGCTAAACTGAAATTTCCCTTTGCAATATCTCCTAAGAAAAATTTACTCAGAAAACAAATAACATAATATTGTGGGGACATTTTTCCCTCCTAATACTACAGAGTTTTTAAAATTTCAGCAGGATGAATATACACATAAATATCTTAGCAGTTACTAATATGTCTCCATCTATTCCATAAAGCAACCCAGTAAGGTATTTGTCTGGCAGGACTGTGGTCTTACAGTAGATTACATCTATAAGAAATAAAACTTCAGTATTAAGAAAAAAAATCCAGCACTTAAATTTTTTAAAGCCTCTCTAATAAGAATTAAAGTAACTGAAAACTGTGCTGCAATTTTAGATTAAGATTACCAGGGGCTGGGACTATAGCTCAGCGTTAGAGTGCTTGCCTAGCATGTGTGACACACTGGGTTCGATCTTCAGCACCACATAAAAGTAAATAAACAAAATTGTAGTTGTGTCTATCTACAACCAAAAAAAATTTAAAAAGAAAAAGATTACCAAAATGACAAAATAAGATCCCAATTAATAGCACATACTACTTGCCCTAACAAATGATAACTAACGGGTTCTTCAGGTGGAAGTCTCATGCACTATTACTTTATACTCTTACCTAAGTGATTTTAATATTATAGGTTTATATTTACTGGGGTAATATTAAGCAAAAGTAACAATTCCAATGAAGACTTTTGTGGAGAGAAAAAAATAGGAGTTTTAAGGAGTGAAGTCGAATATTAAAACACAAAAATTCCTCCTAACATTTCTGAAATTAAAAAAAAAAAATATATATTGCCAGGCGCAGTGATGCACGCCAGTCAACCCAGTGACTCAGGAGGCTGAGGCAGGAGGATTGGAAGCTCAAAACCAGCCTCGGCAACTAATTGAGGCCCTAAGTAACTCAGAGAGACCCTGTCTCTAAATAAAATATTAAAATGGTTGGGGATGTGACTCAGTGCTCAGTGGTTAAGCACCCCTGGGTTCAATCCCAGTAAAAGAAAGAAAGGAAGGGAGGGAGGGAGGGAGGGAGGGAGGAAGGAAGGAAGGAATTGTTGTGTATGAAATTATTTTATAGTAATTTGTGTCAGTATCAATTCTCTTTTTGAAAAAAAATTGACAAATATACTTTCACTGGCTGATGTTTTATACAGCACAGGTTGATTTGCAGGTCATAAATTATCTAATGAGTCGTTTTTTTTTATTTCTTCAACTGCACCCACTAGAGGTGGGCAGTGAAATGGAAAGTAACGTGGATTCTGAATTTGCACGGACTCAGTTTGAGGATCTGGTTCCATCGCCAACCTCTGAAAAGGCTTTTCTAGCTCAAATCCACGCCCGAAAACCTGGGTACATTCACGGAGGCCCCACCACAAGCACCATGCGTAGTGACATGTGAGTATCTTTTGTGTGAATATATTTTTCTTAGTAGAAAACCAATCTGTAGGGAGCCTTAAGAAAGTAAAAACATGGTTGTTTAGGTCTTCACTTTGGAAAGGAATGAGGCCGGTTCCCTTTCTACCAGAAGAGACAGAAGGGTACTACATTTAAATCTGGCATTGAGATTGTTTCCCCTTACAATTGGAGAGATTATCAATAAACTGAGCCAATCAGTGCTTGTTGAGAACTTGGCTTGCCCAAGGCTCTGGGCACAGATGCTCCTCCATGAAGTCACATCCCAATAAAACCCTCACAAGTTGAAAATATTGTGAGTTGAAAATACATTTAAAACAACTAGCCTACCAAATATCCTAGCTTAGCTACAGAGCACACTGTAGAAAATATCAATCATTGACTTTCCTCATCTGAATGACTGACGGGGAGCTGCAGCTCATCGCCACTGCCCAACATCACAGAACAATATTTCACTGCATATGGCTACCCTGGGAAAAGATCCAGATTCAAAATTGGAAGTATGGCTTCTTCTGAGTGCTTATCACTTTTGCACCATGGTCAAGTTGTCCGTCAAACATGTTATAATTCAGGAATAGTCTATCATATTTAAAAAAACACTGTAGCTACTTTTCCAGGACTCAGGCTAGTTCAGAAGATTAATCATCTGCCTTCAGAATTTATTGTATCTGGACTTAGAGGACCTAGTGATTCTGGAGAAGTTTCTCTGTTCACAATGAATATAAATTGGATTAAAATAAATAAAGGCATAAAGTCTCATTATAAAGAAACCCACTTTCCTGAACATGTTGAGTATGTACAGATCTGACCCTAGGAAAACTTGTTTTGCAAAGGTTTTCTCCTTTCTGGATCAGCTCAAAGTAGGCAGCAGAGGAAATGAAGCTGAGAAACTAAAACAACCCCAGACAGAGTTGCAAAATTCAGTTTGGGAAGAGAAAAGAATAAAATAAAGGAAGGGAATTTGGAAGTGAGGCGCTAGGAGCATAATCTCCTGGAGTTATGAGAAATGTGAGGAAAGGTTGACCAAAGGCTGAGAAAGGGAATGAAGGGAATGGCACTAAAAAAATAACAGAAGGGTGACACTTAATGTGAAAAGTGAAAAATATTCCAGACCAGTCTACAAAAATAAATTGGGCTGGGCGCAGTGGCACACGCCCTGTAATCCCAGTGGCTCAGGAGGCTGAGGCAGGAGGATCGCCAGTTCAAAGCCAGCCTCAGCAATGGCAAGGTACTAAGCAACTCAGTGAGACCCTGTCTCTAAATCAAATACAAAATAGGGCTGGGGATGTGGCTCAGTGATTGAGTGCCCTGGAGTTCAATCCCTAGTACCATCCCCTTCCCCATCAAAATAAATCGACTGTGTTAAAGACCCAAAGAAAAACTAACCAGAGGCCCTTCTGATGTTTTGCTTCTCAATCCAAGTAGTGAACAAAAGACCAGCAAAAATGGAGAGCTATAAAGAGACCTGCGGAAAGCCAGCTGTGAAGGAGCAGAGTATGAGATCAGAGCAGAAGAACAGTTACGATATGATTGAAAGTGGCAGGCTGCAGCCACTTCTAATTTTAGTTTGCTTTCATGTTCTTTCCTCTATAATTTAGAATTGTTTGTTTCTTTTTCAAACTGGGGGGTTAATTGTCATCTGTTTTGTCAAGTAAATACATATCTACTTGATTTTTTACTGTTAAGCATGTACATGGTAGCTATCTAAAATGTCCCTTGCCCCAATTCTAAAAGCCAAGACCATTAGTGCCACTCCAATCTACTATCCCTGGTGTGCTGGGGAGCAGGACCAGCTACCAACCAGTGATTTTGGATCTTGGAAGGATAAGTTCACACGCACCTCACAGAACCTTTTAGGCTGGCCCCAAACCTCCAAAAATAACAAGAACATGTCATACAGATATAAATAAATGTGAAAAATGGCATTTAATCTCCAGACTAGAAATGTCTCCTTGACCACTCTTTTCACTTTAGAGGATATTTTAATATCTGTACTGTGTTACACACTGAGAATATTCTAGTCACATGATTTAGTAGTGAACTTATGTTCAGCCCCATGAAGAGTTTTTTACATATCCTGGGATGAATAGAGGGAGATAATGTCTCATCTCAATGAGTGAAGTCATTCTTTTCTATTTATTTGATAGTGGAATTAGACAATTTAAATGAATCTTCAGGTTTGGAACTAGTGTAAATTTTTAAGATCAAAAGCATGTGCCCTAAATTGACTCTCATGAGTATGCACACACATGTGTCAGTGTGTGTGTGTGTGTCTCTGGGTGCATGTGTGTAACACAGAGGGTTAAATTATGAATAAATGTCTTTAAGAATTATTTCACTAGAGGGCTCACTCTCCTTATAGAAACTGCTCTTGGATTCTATGTGAAAAGCCCCCCTAATGGGAAAATTTAATAACCCTTCAAAAAACAAGTTTGTCCTTTTTTCATAGAGTATAGGATATGTAAAGGGCCAGACTATTCCTGTAAACCCTGCAAACACACTGATGACCAATGATCACCAGATTGCCATGGGAAAAGTGTGTATGAAAATGCCTTGACTGTGTACTCCTCCAAACCTCCAATTTTTTTTAAGTTTCCCTTTGGGGAAAAGAGACATAGAAGTGGCTCAAGGGACAGATAGCTAACGCCACAAATTCCACTCATACTTGTCTTTAAGAGGTGCTCCAAAATGCCAACTGTGGTTTATTCACAGAGTTACAGAAGATGGGGATCCCTACGTGCGGCCTGAGGACGAGAACTACGAGAACGACTCTGTCCGGCAGTTGGAGAATGAGCTGAAGATGGAGGAATACCTGAAACAGAAGCTGCAGGACGAAGCCTACCAGGTACGGGGACCCCCAGCCCCACTCAACCCCACCTCCTCAGCCCACGATAATGGGTCTTTCCCAATCCTCACAAAATTGGAGCTTCCTCCTTCCTTCCGCCTTCTTGTTCCAGAATATTTTCACATTACTTCTTAGTCCATGTATTCCAGACAGTAAAAATTTTAAAAACTTCTCATAGCTAGCCATCACTCATTGTGCATTCTCATGAATTCGGTTCTGGAAAGTGTAAAGAAGCCTTGTGATATTAGCAGAAACACGGTGACTTAACAATCCAAACTCCCCCAGGATCATTAAGGTGCTTTTTCTTCCCCACCATAAATTGAAAGAAGAGGAGGAATACAAATAACAGTGCATGCATAAATATACTTCCTCCCTTGAATTGTTTGTCCTCAGCCTCCCTGACTGCCCACTTCATGCCAAATGGAAGTGGGAAGGTGACAAAACTTAGTGAGGAACGTTGGGGGAACTGCAGGCCCAAGTTCAATGAGGTGTGAATAGACACATCTTCAGATAGAGAGTATATTAGCCCATCTGAGAATTCATAGAACATAGCACAGGCAATTGGGAATAAACTCCTGCTAAAAGAGGTGCATTTTACCCAACGGACCGTTGTCCTGTCTTATTTGTCTTTCTGTGAGCATCCTTTCTCTTTACCTGCAGGTGTGTTGTTGAGTTCTGGGAGCTCAGGGATGCTTGTCTGGTGGAGACCTGCTGGTCCCCAACCCCAGTGGGTTACTGTTTTCCTGTCAGATTTCTTTCCAATGGCCACACAACCTTTCTCCATATTCTTAGATCAGCAGTGGCCCTTTTGTACTGCATTAGTGAAGGACAGAGAAATAGAGGGAATAAATTGTCTCTCACTTCTCGTATATTTATAGATTAAGCCTTGAAATATTTTCCCAAGAAGAATGTAGCAAAAGAGATATTGGAGGCCTGCCAACTTCACCTCAATAATATAAAAAAAGGTTTGCCTCTTTGGAAGTTTCCATTCAACTTTTTAGTTAAGCAAACACATTTTAGAAGCAACCAAAATGTTGATCTTTCGTGAAAAGATCAAAGTCAAACAAAGAAAAAAAGAAAAGAAAAACAGAGATAGCATCTGTGGAACCATGCTTCTATGCTACAGAAACAGTAGTCGTCTGAAAATCATGGAGGGCGCTCTTTCTTTGCAACTTGTATGGTTTTCCACAGAAGGAAATTATCCCAGAATGAAGCTGGCCGGGCTTCTCTGGGAACTCTGAGGGATGGCATCCCTACACATGCCTCCCGTGACCCTGCACATAGAGGGAAAGAGATGTGGCTACATAATCAATATTCCAGTTCATGCTGTTAGGGGGTCCTTATTAGGCCTCCCTCTTTAAATTCCTATCAGTTTCTGGATTTGGGTGACAACAGTAACTGAAATTCTAGAAGTTATTTAAAAAAAAAAAAAAGAGGCAGCCTTTCACCATTTTATATCAAATAGTAAATCTTTATTTATTTTAATGAATTAGGAATTTAATCTTAGATGAGTAAAGTGAAGGGAAATTCTATTAATGACGTACAATCCCATTGGAGTTCTTACCACCTCTGTCTCTGGTGAGTCTGAAGCTCTCTCTCCTTGCCTTTCCATGCCCGATGACTTCAAGGGAAAGGGCAGAGAAGGGGCTGGGAGAACATAATAAGCCCATGTGTCCCCCCTCAAGATGAACGCCCTGGAGAACGCTGGAGTGGTTTTCCTGGAGGGCTCTGTGAGCAGACGGTTATTGAATGGATTGGAACACTACTTTCTTTCATTGCACTCTCTTTCTGTCTTTGTGCATGGCTTCCAGCCAAATAATTCACCAGCTTGACTGCGTCACCAACTTGACATGTCACCTTTCTTGTTTGTGTCCTTTGTCACCCACAGGTCAGCTTGCAAGGTTGAATGCAATATCCTTTTATCACTCTCCTCTCAAGTAAGTACCTTCTTGTTTGGGAGGAAACATGGCCACTCCACTGAATTCTGAGAGCTTGTAACCTGAATTCACAATCACTCTCTCCAAAGTGTTTCTTTCTGTGTAATAAAATATCCTCCTTCCCTGCTGACATTTGTCGACAAATTCTCTCAAGTCTATGGAGCATTTCATTATAATCCAGTGGAAATCTCCCAGACATCCTTGGGAGTTGACTTTTTCCTCTGTGAATTAGGGAAGTCTACCAGAAACTTCCTTAACATCAGAGATACTCCGGAAGTCCTCTGCAGCCAGGATGCTTAGCTAGCCACTTCACCAATCCATCATGACATCAGAATTGCCCCCTCTGTAGCACCTAGGAAGGAACCAACCTTGTTCAGTATTTATAGATGAATCAGCTCCTTAATCATGCTACATTCAGGGCCCAAACGACCAAACGTGTACCTTAACAAAAAAGAAAAAATCAAATATTTTTAAAATGAAAGAATCAAGTTGACACAGTGGCACTCACCTGTAATCCCACCAGCATGGGAGGCTGATGCCAGAGGATCACAATTTCAAGGCCAGCCTCAGCAACTTAGGGAGATCGTGTCTCAAAATAAAATATAAAAAGGACTGGGGATGTGGCTCAGTGGTTAAGCACCTCTGAGTTCAAGCCCCAGTACCAAAAAAAAAAAAAAGAAGAAGAAGAAGAAGAATCAAAATGGAGAAGGGATTCTACAGTCTTATATTTTGGGGATAACTGATTCAAATCCATGATGTAATTGAGCAGGATATAAATTAATTTAAAATATAATTTATCCCGTATGGGATCCCATCCCAAGGATCTACCTGAATACATGTAAAATCTCTCATAATGTAAAGAGCACTTGATCTGGCAAGATCACTTGAGGGTGATTTACAAATCTTAGGCTATGGAAGACATCAGACCCAATTTCAAATAATGATTTACTGGATTTTGACCACTCCTTGAGGATAAAGTGCCCCCCCAAGACCTTTGACACCTGGGGGTCTAAGGGTTCCTGGCAAAAATATATACATATATATTGGTTTTACCAAATTCTAGCAGCATAAATCTGGACAAATTATTAAAGCTATTTTAGCCTTCAGTTTCCTCTGCACAACATGTCAGGAGCCTACCTCATAAAAGAATTGTACTTCCTGAGATGTGTTTTTAAAGAGCTTGACACAGTAGCAGACACCGTACAATTTATTAAGAACATGCACATACATGCATGCCGTGATGCTCCATGATTTATATATAGTGGTTATGCAAGCACTTGGGAACCGCTGGGACCACGGGGACTAGAGCGAGCTGGCTCTCCCTGTTTTTATAAACAAAATCAGGCCTCTGCTACATACAATGATTTGAGAGATCTTGGGCTACACTGTCCCATAAGTCTAGATGGTTTCTCTGGATCCAGCTGATGGTCATTTAGATGTCCCCCACTAGAGTTCAGAGTTCATGCACTTCCCACAGTAATCTTACCACCCATGCCCAAGGACTTGTGTCTGCTTAGTTATACAGTTCTTTCCAATCGTGGAATCCCTTCTGTCTGTATAGTACAGTTGAGAGTAAACTACCAACTCCGGTTGGTAGCTTAAAAAGGGATATATATATATACTTCTCTTTAAATGGCATCTCAATTAGTAAAGAATATGTGTTAGTTTGAGCACTGCTGACATCCTGTCTTGATCCTCAGGTTAAGATTAAACAAGTAAAAATCATGGTACAATGTCTATGATATACATTTCATGAGCAGAGAGGAAAGCGCATACTGACCACACTCTGCTCTTCCCCGCTTGGATTTGAGAATACGACACCACACACTCTCCACATTCATGATGACTAGAGTGAAAAAATTCCCAGGAGCAGTTTCTGAAAATATTCACTCCAGTTATAACAAACCTAATCCCGAAGGAGCAAGCCTTTTCCTTTAATAGCATTTTCTTTCTCTGAGCTCCAGAAATTTAATCATTTTTGTTCTATCCATTATTTAAACATTGGTAGATTTTTCTTAGAAAAATATTTCTTTTTAAAAAGCCTACTAAAATGGCCTTAATATAAAACCACATAAAAGTTGGCATTGGGTTCATTGTGTTCCTAAAAGCCAAAAAATTCAGTATCCTGAAAGTTCTTAAGACCATTTTTTAAAAATCCTTGTTGCAAAATTGGCAGTGAAAAATTAAACATTTGTGACCTCTGCTGTTAACTGCATCAAGTAGTCCCTCCCACCCCCAGCCCCATCTAGAATTTGACAGGACTCTGAATATGAACCAGCCTGGTACTAAATCAGCCACTTAGGCAAAATTCATTTAACATCTTTTCAGAATACTACAAAAGCTAGTGGCTTTTCATCTTGTAACTAGTTCCATCCTACTAAATTTTTTTCTTAATGTAGCTAGGAAATATAGTTGAAATTTTAAAAGAGTTTACATTATTACAATATTTCTGTTTGGACTTTCCAACTGTGCTGCAAGACCAAAAATGATCCAAATATGTTCCTCTTAGTCAGAAGTCCTGAATCCCACTTCATTGGCTTGATGTCAGCCAGTCATCCACCAAGGCAGGGCCCTACATGGGTAAGGAGTCAGAAAGTGGGACATCAGAAACATAGAAGACTCATCCTCTGCTCAAGTAGGGCTTTAGGCGTATTTGGAAATAAATACACATTTATCAGCATCCTGAGCAAACGAATGGAGTTCCTGGTGGACTGCTTTTCAACTAGCTCCTTTTGAAAAAACAATGTACAAATATGATTAGTGCTCAGCTTAGTATCCCCCTTGTCTCCATTTTACTCCGTTCAAACTTTGGATTTTTTTCCATCCTCTGGACACTTGGTATATCACTTTCCTTGCCTGGTCACATCTTAACTTAGATATTGGAGGATTGGACCATGGAAAGTGAATTTAAAAAAAAAAATCAACATGGAATTCTGATGGTGGGTCAGTAGTGTCCTCTCCTTGTCCAAAGAATAGCACAAATCTTTCCATGGTACCTCAGGTACCTTTCCAGAAAGAAACTCAACAAAGAGAACTTCCCGTCCTCTCTTCCAGAAGGTGCAACAGCACACCGTGTCTTACAACACCCGTCCCTGATTTTCATAGGAAAGAAGTACAGCAAGTGTGCGTTCACATGTATGTGTATGTGTGTGCGTGTGTATATATGTGTGCATGAGTGTGTGTGTGTGTGTGTGTATGTGTGGGAAAGGGGGGAATCCTAAGTTTCATAACCCTAATTTAGAAACAGTTTTCGTCTTTAAAAAAAAAATTACACATTCCTTATTCCCAGGCAAGCGATAGTCAGACAGATGATAAGATGAGAACTGGTGATGATGGAGAGCACTGCACCCAGACAGAGGAAGACGGCAGCCTGGCAGCAGCCTCACCGGAGAGAGGAGCCACCACACCCAGCAGCTCCTGACAAACCCCCACCCCCTAAAGATGTGTTCTGATGCCTCTAGTGCAGCTAATTTTTTTTGTTCTCTTAAGATTTGTAGTTCATAGGTGTGTGTTTTAGAAGGGGAAAAAAAAAAGACTTCTGTTCAAAGCTAATTTATCCACTACATCTTCTGTAACATGGCTCATCCCTGGTTAAAAACAAACCAACACAGGCTGAGAACCATGCTGCTGTTACACACGATGGCAGTATTAACAAGCATTTTAAACCTTTGCACATGATATTGAACCTGTTCAGTTTACAATGACAATATTAATACTGTTTATAGCTAGAAGTTTGATTTCTGGATTCTTTGAGATTTTAGCAAAACAGTATATTATACACTGGACCTTTCTTTTTTTTCCCATAACAATTGGAAAAAAACAACCACTTGCAAACATTCATAAATCCTGAAGGGTCCCGTTCCTGAGTGTACAAGCTCAGAATCTGGAAGCCAAGACAGATCCTTGGCTTGCAGTTGACCCCAAAAGACTTTGTGAGCAGTGATTTGAACCCATCATTAGAAATAATCCACTCTTAGGGGCTTCTTTCCAACTTTGGGTTGTTTTCTTTCAAGATACTCTAACAAGTCAGCCATAGAATTTAGTGTAAATATTTTTTCCAAATAATCATATTCAAAAAAAAGACAACATTCAAATTATATAGAATCTAGTTTTTAAAATCAGCACAGATCTTCTTAAAAACTGTGAACTATGTTTTGAAATACTCGTTACTAAAGCTGTTTATAAACCACAGGTGCCATAAGATCCCCAAACGGACTAAAGTTATCTATGCTCTTCCATGGTCTTGTTCCTCTCGGTTTAGCTTTAGGAAGCATGTCTTTAACAGCACCGCTCATTCACAAGCTCCCCTATCAGGTCACGGAGGCCTTCAGCTTTAAATGTACAGGCTTAAAGTGCGCTTGCAAAACGTCGCTCTCCTTTTATTTCTGAATGTCGATTGCCTTAGCTGGCCACCTGGTGTTCTGCATGCAGCGTTCTGTGGTCACGTGAAAGGAGGACAGGCTCTTCTATATTAAGCTGGGATTTTTGCACTCAGTGAAAAAATAACTAATGTGCAAAAGAACTGCAAAGACAAGAGGATAAAAGTCTATTGATGGTCCTTAGGAGGGCCCTCTTCAGAAAGAACTAAAGACCGTCCCCTCCCCTCACTTTGGGATTCTGGGGAAAATGGAAAAGCAATCTTCTGTTTGTTTCAAGATTTGGTGGGGGATAAAAGCCTGCAGCATATTGGATATATTCATACTTAAATGAGCAGCTTCTCTGGAATTCCTGTAGAACAGTGGTTCTCAAACTATGTTCCCCAGATCAGCAGTATCAGCATCACCTGGGAATGTCTTAGCAACGCAAATTCTTAGGCCCCAGCCCATGCCTACCGAATCAGAAATGATGGGGATGGGGCCTAGCAATCTGTGTTTTAATCAGCCCTCCAGGCAATTCTGATGCATGCTAAAGGTTGAAACTACTGCTTTAGAATTCAGTTGTATAGTAAAGTCTCCAGAAAGGTCTTATAAGTAGGAAAGGCTCTGAGTCAACCTCAAAGCTTCAGCGATTCCATTTTGCTTCCAAGGTTTGCAAAACCTCCCACCCCACATACCTGGTCTGTAGTTGGTAGGTGTCAGCTGAGAATACTCATTCCAATATTTTTAAGCTCCGCTAGCAGAGGGCCATCAGATGTTTATGCCTCTGCATTTGGTCAGAAACCATCTCCTTGGCTGCCCTTCACAACAAAATCGCTTGCCTTGGGGATAGTAAAGTGATTAACTGGCATCAGTGAGGACCCCACCCTGTCCCTGGATGTACTTAATCATACTTCCCTCCAGAGAACCCGCCTAAACAAATGTCCCTGAGCACAGGCTAACACCAAAGTGGCACGACTGCACAGTTCTCAGATTTCTTTGCACAGATGAATTTTATTGCGGGTTTTGTCAGTGTGTTGATGTTCATCTCTCTTCCCCTGCCCATCCTCTGTGAAACCATACCTCTCTAGATGGAGCAGGTGGCCATTGGTGCCTCATACTCAGTACTGAAAACCACTACATCCCAGCTACCTACATTGCTGTCAGTTCGCAACCAGAGCCAGGTGGTTCTTGAACTCAGAACTCAGACCCTGCAAGTGGCACTTCTGCCACTGGCTGGACTGAGCTGACATATGTTGTCTCTTTGTGTTTTGACATCAAAACGTCTGTCTGAGGTTTGAACGGTTCTGCTAAAAACCTTCCCCCTTGTCATAGCTCTCATGGCCTACCAACTCCATAACCCATCGTTCAAAGCCATTGCAAGGACTCTGGAAACTGCCGCCCATGACCAATTTCTGACTAACCAGCCACCTTTTCTTTCTCTTAGCTCCACGTCAGCACTGAGACCAGACTCAAGCACCCCTGTCCTGTAACCGAGACAAAATGGCGTGTGTTGTTTTGGGTTTTTGTGGTTTTTGGTGGGTTTCTTTCCGTGGCTCTCCAAATTTATTTTTGGGGTCTGTTCTAAGTGCAAACCCAGCAGGTTTCATCTGTCCTGTCCATTAGATAACAACTATATCATGTGGGGGTTGTTTCTTTCTTGTTCCACAATGAATTGCACATCCATCTCCATCAGAGCTATAGCCTATTAATGAGCACTGGTCTAACACAGCCAACCCTCCCCCACAGCACCATGTTAACGGAGGAGGGTAGAAGGGTGAAATCTACAGGACAGGATTCAGGAATCAGTTGTGGTTGGTCAGGACGGAAGTCGGGGTAAGTTCGATTGGTCAGAGGGAGTTGTGCTGGAGATTGTGAAAATGGATTCTCGGATGATCTATTATAAGGCAGGGAAGGCTCATTTGTAAGTAGTAATGTGAACTGAATTGCATTAAGAGTGTGGCCTTTGTTGTGATATACTATGTATTTTCTTATATGCATGAGCCAAACTGTTGCGTCATAATTTAGCACTGATGTCTGCTTTTATTTTGATCATCTTTGTCCACCCTTATTAGTTCTTGGCTGTTAACTGTAGATAGATCTTGTACAGACAGCAACCTTTGGTTGCTGCATTCACCTTGGTTCGATTCCATGCAAGGAGCCACAAGCAAGAACTCCACTGTGTCCTCAGAAGAAAGGGCATTTTTACTTTTGAACCAAAAAAAAAAAAGAAAAAAAAAATCAGAAGCATTACATCTTGCGGCTAATTAACTGTAAGACATTTTTAATTATGATTACTGTAATTTGACACCATTTGAGACACTAAAGATTTCACAATATTCATTGGTATTGTAACAAAACTACTATTGTATGGATTTTTTGTATTGCTGTTAAGTATTGTTTTGTGTGTGTGCGTGTGGGTGTGTGTGTGTGTTGGAACCTCCTGGGGACATGTTATATTTTGAAGTGATTAAACTATTTAATTGTGTGTCTATATTTTGGAATGGAATTATTTCTTCATTAAAAATGTTTTTAAAAACACTAAATCTTGCATGTTTTATTCCTGGATTTAATGACTCTTTCCTAGAGCAACATGGAGTCAGTCTGTTTGAAGAAGACAGATCAGCGTTTACAGTATGGAGCAGGGTAACAGTGATGGAATGTTTGATTAACTGAGGCAAAATAGCTTATCTCCTATAAATATTTGAGTGGCTTTATGTTTTTTTTAAAGGCCCAGAAAAAAAAATATACGCCAAAAGATTAGCAATCTAAATTGTGCATTTAAGGATGATAGTTTTGTTTTCTTCATTATCTTATTCAGGCTCCCTACCATAGATATTTGGAATAGAGGGAATGGATGGGTGAATACATAGGAAACACCTGGATTGAACTTTTTTTTTTAATAAGGCTGAGTCACCCAATACCTTTAGAAGTCCCGTCTAAATATGGGAATTTTCTTTGCCTTCAGTGAATAAAGAAGTCCCTTTCTATAGAATTGTTAGGCTACAGAGCATTAAAAATTATATGCATGCTTGGTTTATTTTAAAGAAAATAATAAGCATACTAGAGGCTTATGAATCAAGTTAAATAATGACAATTTGTGATTCCCTCTTCCTCAAAGCTATTTAGTTCAGTAATGGATAGAAACAAAAAATATGGACCAATAATGCTGACCATGGATATTCTGATAGATAGATAGACAGATAGATAGATATAGATATATATAGTTGTAGATGGACAGAATGCCTTTATTTTATTTGTTAATTTTTTTTTATTTTGGTGCCAAGGAATGAATCCAGTGCCTCACACATGCTAGGCAAGCACTTTTCCACTGAGATACAATCCCAGCCCCTGTAGATATTCTTCATCACTGGATCTGCTGGCTTACATGAGACATGAGCTAAACAACATATGTGGTTGGCTCCTTCACTTTGCAGTGCCATGATTGTGCCACCAAGAGAAGAAATGCTGCTAAGGATGAGTATCAGACAACCAGAACATAAAGGGCAGTGGGCAAATGATCTGACATTCCATTTTTCTGGAAGTCTCTTTGTGGCTATTCTAGCTTGGGAACAGCTACACCTTGAAAATACCTAGGTAGGAACAATTAGACCTGCTTTCTGATCTACACCTCCAAGAGAAAGTTATTTTTGCTTTCTTTGTAATTATTTCTTAGCAAACACCTTTCCGGCCATCCATGGGAGTAAGTGGGGAGACCAGGAGACTGAGAAGAAAGGTGTGCATGAAGGTGTGCCTCCTCTAAGCAGGGGGAATCCTCACACACACTCGAGTCTCACTCATCTAGTGTGTGGGACACACACCTGAAGGTAATGAAGAGTTTATTTGCCAGGACCTGTTTATATCTATACGTTTTGTGACAAACATCATAGATTTATCATTAGTTTTATGCACCTGTGTTTTAAATCATATATAGGCAATAAAAATGGCATTAGTAATAAAAAAATGCAATATATCCCCACCCCAAGTTGGAATACTGTAATTGAATTTTGCCGACCCCACAGGCAAAGGACAAAATCTTCCACAATAATGCTGCTTAAGACAGTCCTAAGTCTGTGGGGTCACCTACAGTTCTGACTAGCCAGCTAGAAATTCAGGGGTTCCCATGACCCCCTCATGTTAAATAATTCACTTGAACAACTCACAGAATTCACTGAGTGCACTAGATTCTGTACTAGAGTTTTGTTACAAAGGATACAGATCAGGAATGGCCAAATGAAAAGATACAAAAGGCAAGGTCCTGGGTTGGGGAAGGACACGGAGTAGCAGTGCCCTCCCCTTGTGAAATCTGGTCATGTCATTCTCCCAACGCATCCATGTGTTCACCAACCAAGAAGCTTCTCTGAACCTTTGTACAGGGATTTTGTTGGGACATGATGATTAAATCAATTCAACTCAATCTCTGACCTCCTCTCTCTGGAGGTTGGGCTGACTCAAAGTTTCAACCATCTAATAACATAATTGATATTTCTTGGGACCAATCCTTTTCCTGAAGTTATCGAGGGACCCACAATGAGTCACCTCATTAACAAAACCACTCCTATCAGGAAATATCAGTTTTAAAGCTCTAGACGAGATATATTCTCTGTTATGCCATATAATAATGCTTCCTTTTATATTTGTCCATATACTTACCTTTACTGGAGAACTTTATTTCCTCATACAGCTTCAGATTACTATTACTTTCATTTCATCATGATGATTCTCTTCAGCATTTCTTACAGGACAGATCTATTGGTAGTAAACTCCTTCAGCTTTTGTTTTACTGGGAATGTCTTAATTTCCTCATTTTTGAAGGTCAGTTGTGCCATATATAGTATTCTTTGTTGATAGTTTTTTGTTTGTTTGTTTGTTTTTGTTTTGTTTTTGCTTTCTTTCAATATGCTCATTGCCTTCTGGCTTCCCTGGTCTCTGATGAGTAATCCACCGTAAATCTTGATTGAGACTCTCTTGATTTAGACAACCACTTCTTTCTTTCTACTTTCAAGATTCTCTCTGTGTCTTGGGCTTTCAAGAGTTTTGTTATAAATTGTCTTGATGTGGATTCCATTAAGTTTATCCTACATGGAATCTATTGAGTTTCTTGGATGTATGGAAACAAACTCCACAGATAACATTTCAGGGGGATTCATTGGGATGTCACTGCAAAAATACAAGAGAAAGAAATAATGATAGTTTAGACTAACAGTAGAGTGGAGTTGGTTGTTTTCGTCAGCTTTCTCACTGCTATGTCTTAAAGACCCAACTACTACAATTGTAGAGGAGGGAAAGTTTGAGAGCTCATGGTTTCAGAGATCAACAGACAGCTCCATTCCTCGGGACTCAAGGTGAGGCAGGATATCATGGCTGGAGAGTATGGGGGGGTGGGGGAAGCAGTTCACATCACAGTGATCAGGAAGCAGAGAGAAAGTTTGCACTCTCCAGATACAAAAGATACACCCCAAAGTCACTCCCCACAAAGTCCCACCTCCTCTAGCCAGACCTACCACTTCAGTTACCACTCAGTTAATCCCTATCAGGAGATTAATTCATTCATGGGTTAAGACTCTTAAAATCCAATCACTTCTCCTCTGAACCTTCTTGCACTGTCTTTTGGGGGACACCTCACATCCAAACCATAACACTGGTCATGTCCTAAATATATTTTTTGAAGGATAGAACAACCAGGTTTTGTGGCTGGGTCGAATTTGTATGAGAAAAAGAAGGGAAAGAAGGATGGTAGCTAATTTGAGCATTTAAATAACCAGAAAGGTGAGTAGGAAGACCAGACTTTGGATGGGGAGAATTTCAATACTTCCTTTCTGGACATAATGGAATTGAGAGGCTTGTTAAACACTCAAGGGTAAAGAGAAGTACAACATTGGTGATCTAGGTTTGGAATCCTGGAGTGAAGTCGAAACTGGAGCCACAAATCTTAGAGTCATCACCATAGAGATGATAAAGGAGATTGAGAAAGAATGATCACAAAGGTAGTAATAAAGTCAAAAGCTGTATAGTAGGCTAGAAACCAGGTGATGAAAGTGTTTCAAGACAGAAGGTGGTGTGATCAACCATGCTGAGTGCAGCTGATAGGTCAAGTAAGATAAGAATGAGGAATTGACTCATTACATGTGTGTTGAAATGAATTAACATAAAAATGTCAAAGAAGCCCTTTGCTATTTTCAAAAATTCCTATATTCTCAATGAAATCTTGAGAAAAGCTGGATGGAAATGCATGTTTGTTTCCCTTCTGAGGGCCTTAAGGAAGTTTTTGTCCTAAATAATAAATCCACAGAGTTGACAAGAGTTGCATCTCCAGACACCCTCACAAGCCAGCTTCCTGTCTTCCCTTTTGGAGATGTCAACAGACATAGACAATACTGACAAATTTACATATTGTGATGGGGTTATAACAACCACATCAATGTAGAAAATATTCCCCTATTGGCCTTTCAAATGTCTTTTTAATGAAAAGAATATATAATTGTTATTTTTGGAAGAGGAGCTTTTCTTTCTTTTGGAATTTCACCTGCCTCGATTATTTTCAGTGAAATAAGTGCTACATGATAAATCTTCCTTGCTCTCTGGATATG